TGTGGCGCTACGATGTATCGTATTTCCCGTAATAATACAGGTGTACAAGGGATCCCACTTTTCCCGCATTAATTCTTTGGCAATACATTCCTCGGCCGATTTGGGGTTGATCTTTCCTTGGCGAAAATATCGAGACGCCGATAATTCTCGAGTTATCGCGAAACGAACGAACGGCTCCTTGCGAATTAAAGTCCAGTTTAATATGGAGGATAAAAAAGGATACTACAGCTCGAATGGAGTTTACTTTGATGGAAATTTAATTTGAGGCTTAGTGAGTTACAGCGATACGTAATATTAAAAATTGAGAGGGCCGTGATAAAATGATGAGCACCCTCGACAGGTTCGCCGAGGAGAAATCGACTCCATATTAAGAAATAATGCGCGTGAAGCGGATATCTTGTATCCCACGCCAAATCGGTCAAAGAATCTGTCGTTAAATATTAACGTGCGAGAGACGGGATATCTTGTATCTCACTTGAAATTTGTCAAAGTGTATCTGCCATTAAAATACAACTCGTGATTTTTTAATCGCGGACACTTGCACAGTAGGAAGAAAATTGCACTGAAATGTTCCCTTGTAAAAAGCAACGTTGCTGCAACATCGTAGCAAGCTTGCAGCGTGCAGCAACGTTGTTGTAAACGAAATCACTTTCATTTCTTTATTGTTATTTTTTTTATACATGTCATACGATTTCGCTTGGATTGAAATTGCCGATTAATCGGAATTTTTCTTTGGAGATCTCTCGCGTAACTTCCATACACTTCCCGTTATTTTCTCTGCCTCCGCCTGAAATCCGAGGAGATCAGGTACAATATATAGGTATAGAGCAGCAGGCGGTATTATGGAATCTCTCTCTTTCCTCCCTCCCCCTTTCTCTCATTTCATTTTTAATATCCTGCGAGCTTCCAATATTGCCGTAACCTTGTCCGGGTTTTTCATTTGCATGCTTTTATAATGTCATTGCAATTTGCAGGATTGCAACTTTGCTGCAATGTAGCGAGCTAAAAAAAAAAGATATTCTGTGCATGGATAACTTCGAACCATCTATCGTTATCGAAGTCACGCGTTCAATGCCATTGTAGACTCTGCGCTAAAACAAGATCCACTTTAATTTATAATTCCGAGGTGCTCTATATTCCCCAGATTCTCTCCGTGTTCCCTCGATATTATCGAGAATATCAACGCGAGGTGCCATAAAAAGTTTTCGAATCTGTATTCACACGTGTATGCATATGTATGGGGTTATAATGTCCAATTCCTGCATGGAAAGAACGGTTTTACTGAAGTATCTAAAAACAATTAGATACAAAAAAATTTGAATATAATTATAATATAATATAAATAAAAATATAATAATATAATATATAATATAAAAATAATTAGATACAAAAAAATTTGAATATAATTTGGTTCAGCTATCGAAATAATTATGTAGAAGATACAAGATTTAAGTATAATAATCCTATAAAAATTTTCATATTCTAGCGACCAATTTGAACGTTCCGAACATAATTATTTCGATGGCCTAACAAAATTATTTTCAGATCTGTGGATACACAGATGATGAAATTGTTCGGAGTGGATTCCGATTGAAATTATTTAGTTATTTCCTAGATTTCTACTGTTTTTTTATAAGAAAAACGGAATAACTTCAATCGGTATTTATTTTTAATTTTTAAATCACCTCAGCAAACTTCACTGTTTTTTTTTTCGTATAAAGATGGACGTGACAAAATTTATCAGTGAAAATTATCAATCGGGAGAATATCATTGTGATTGCATACGCAAATCTGAATAGTATTTAAGCGAATTAATTTAGGAAAATGCAAGCACGTATAGAAGCGGCAGAGATCCGATGTTCTTCCGATTTGCAAAATTATGCGGAAAGATTTAAATGACAGGCGAGGACACTTATCATCCGTCTGTCAGTTACGTAACGGCCGTATCATGATACTATCATGAATGCTTGGCGGAAGAAGCGCGGGAACAGAGAGAGAAGGAGAGAAACGTGTACAAAACGAAAACATCATTTAAACGAGACAAATCATTCGTAACAGCAGCCCCTATCTGATGACGTCAGAATCTCATTCAGCGTAACAATTACTCTAATTTTTTTCGTGTTTCTCCCAAGAACAAAATCATCATACATTTTTATCTGAGATACGGTAAGCGGTAATTGCGATTTTTATACTAAGAAAAAAGTCGAAATATTCAAAAGCGAATGTTACAGTTCGTGACATTCTTTTCTGGATTTTACTAGTTATAAAAAAAAATTTGATGTTAAAGTATGCATTTCTGCGAAATATATTTAATTTTTTCTTACTAATTGTAAAATAATTAATTTGCTATAGATGAATAAAATTTTACTTCGCCATATTTAAATAAGCCTTATCTCTCTCCAAATTTTCAAGTATTTTTTTCCTCAGTGTATACTTGATATCATTATTCATATATTCTACGAAAATAATATTCTTCGAATTGCAAAAACCACCATTTCCATTTTCCTCCTCGGCGAAATTAATCCAAATAGATGTAATTTGTCTAAATAATCAGACTAATGTAATCAATGGTTAATAATTTGATGTAAATAACGTACGTATTAATTGAATTAGCTTAGTTAACTCAAATAATCTCAATTACCAGCGTGGTTTCTCTCTCGGATACGCCGGAAACCACGGCTTGAATCACGGTCAGATAGGGTTACTTTGTCCCTGCGGGGGTAATTCCGTGCCACGGTGGAGAGAGATTTTCTAGGACGAGCGGATATTCAGGAAAGAAAGAAGCTCGACGGGAAATCTTTCGGAAATCACATCTCCAGCGTTACTTTTAAATCGCACGTCCGAGTCTCCGAGGAGACTTTATTTTTCCTCTGCGGATCCCGCGTACGAAATTAATGCGTTCGCGACATACGTTATGCACCACTGCCGGAGCATTTTTCTTCTGCACCTGTGCATTTTTCACATCGCAACCGCGCTCACGTCAGCTGTACCGGCACAAAACGCGGAGTCGGAAATACGTCTTACCCGCAATCGTTACGTTTTTATAAGAGGCGTTTCATATTTGATGTTTGATGAGCGAGTGAGGGCACCTCTTTCTACCGCAGCGTTTTGCGAAATGCAATGCGTAAACGCGATATTTTCGCGAGCATCAAGGGTACGTACATTAGGCGTAATATATCCGAAATTGCCATTTGTCATTCGCAAACACGTCTCGTCTGACATCGTTTTATAATGTTGTATAAATTATACGCGGCAGTTGCCGCGCGCGCGAAACGTCCGTATGCTTAAAAGCCGAATTTATCATTGACCAGATAAGAAACAAGTAGTTTCCGGTGTAGGGGATTAACCCTTTTCAATTCTCGGTCGGATATTTCCGATATCGTACGTCATAACGCAGGCCGAATTGAAAGCTACGTGGCACGTAATTTACTTAAATAACAACCTTTTAACATTTTGCACAAGTAGTAGTTTGCACTTGTCCATTTTCATTATGTTTTTATCACACGCGCTATATATGCGAAGTTCATTTTTTTTAGATGATCTATAATTCATGTCCGGTTTTAAGATAGAAATCTATTTTTAATTTTGTACGCCACGTATTATATGGCACATATGTTATATTAATGTATACATGTGTACATTTTAATATATGTATAAATATTCGATTCGTATGGATATATTTAAATTCTCTTCAAATATTTTTTCGCATTATATGGCATGTGAAATTATAAATAGGATTCTATTTTGAATTCCAATACGAATTAAAGGTCGTCTAAAAATGCAACACTAGAATGAATAGATAAGTCCAAATAGATTTACATAAATTATATCATAGTTTTGGAAAATAATTTTATAAAATTGAAAAAAAAAAAGATACAGATATTGCGAATGCGCAATAGACATGTGATTATTACAATTTTTATAAGACATTTAAAGAAATTAAAATATAATAGCTTCTTATTGATGTAAAACAGCTTTTTCCGCACGCACAATAATAATTGCGTGAAATGCGCTCGGCGTCCATTTCTTTTGCAGCCGAACAGGCATGATGTCGAGAAATCCAAATTCCTGGCGGGCTGGCCCCGGCATATTGGAGGCCCTGTTGGTGCTTAGCCTGTTCCTGCTCTTCGTCCTGCAGCCGGATCCTTGTCGCGGCTCGCCGTCTCATCGGAGGCACCACGAGCACGAGCTGCACGCCGCCCAGGAGACGTCGTCGCACGAGGACGCCAGGAGTTCCAGGTCGAGCGAGGAGCTTCCACGACCGTCCGCCTTCACCGGCGATCCGCTGGTGGTGCGTATCAGGAAGGGGATGGTCCGCGGCAGGACCATAGTCGCGACAACCGGCAAGGAGGTCGACGCCTGGCTCGGCATACCCTACGCCCAGAAACCTCTCGGTGAGTCTCGCTGGATGGAAGCGGCGGGAGGGAGGGAGGGAGGGAACGCTTTTTTGGATCAAGATTCACGATCGCGCGCCGTCGTCTGCACGGGATGCAGATCGAGAAGGCGATTATTCCTCGCGACAGAAACGAATGAAGAGCGTGGGATAAAGGGGAGTCTCGTTCGACCTCGATCGCATGATTTCCGAGGAAGACTACTTCGTTCAATATTTGTTTAACATTTAAAATCGTTGATTTTTAATCGACTTTCCTCGAACCGTAACGATAATTCGGGAAAGAAGCGTCTTTCTCATGGCGCTTCTTTCCCGAAATTATCGTTACGGATAATATCCTCCTCCTCATTCGCGAATTTCCGTTTCAGGTCCGCTGAGGTTTCGCCATCCACGCCCGGTGGATCGCTGGTCGGGCGTGCTGAACGCGACCAGCCTGCCGAACAGCTGCGTGCAGATCTTAGACACGGTGTTCGGCGACTTCGCCGGCGCCACCATGTGGAATCCGAACACGCCGCTGAGCGAGGACTGCCTGTATGTGAATGTGGTGGTCCCGCGGCCCAGGCCTACGAACGCCGCTGTCATGGTATGGATATTCGGTGGTGAGTTCCCAGATGATGAGAATCCATCATCTCGATCATCCTCCCTCTCGATCCGCCGCGGGCGAGTCGAACGAGTGCGCGCAGTGACGTCCGAGCGCGATTTCACCGAATGAAATCCTTATCTTTCTTCTTTTATATAGAGATAGTAAAGTAAAGGTTTCCCGGAAGAAACCTTTGTTTTTGAAAAACACGAAACGTTCGATCGAACCGTGTTTCTCCGATTCCGTCGCGCGACTACGCGCTTCTTTCACCAACCACGAAGACGGAAGCATTTCCGAAAGCCATTTTTGTCGCGACCTTTTCAGCTCCGCCGTCGCGCTCCGAATGATGTCAGCTTTATGCTGCGTTTACGCCAGTTATAAACTTGAGATTCTTTTATTGCCTTGTCACCATACGCTTGTTGCGATATGATTGATGCGTCTGCCGGTGGTTTATGCAGCTAAATAAAATTTTAATGTTCGTACGTTACACAATTAGAGATATTTTTAGCTGTGACGCGCGGCTCGCGCATACTAGAAGAAAAAATGACTGCCGTTACGTTATTAGGGAGCTACGTTATCACGTATACACGTTAACGAAATTGCTCGATGACGTCACGAACGATGTGCCGATACGTGAGAGTTACTTCTAATAAATCGTGTAGGCGATTTCGGGAATTTTTTGAAACTGCTAACGGGATATATCAGAGAACTAAGATGAATATCGTTTATATCAATAAAGATGAATATAAAGATGAATATGAAGATGAATATAAAGATGAAATTTATATCAACAAAGCTTGATGCAGTAAATATATATTTAGATATTTACAAATTTAATTAGACATTATAAATGCAATTTATAGAATTTCGTTTGGCTGTGATAAAATAATTTTATTCTGTATTTCTTGAGATTTTATGATCACGCAAAGAAAATTGCGAAAACAAGTATTGTATATATGCGGCCGCGAAACCCAAAGATTTCTGCGACCTCTTTTCCAGGTGGCTTCTACTCCGGTTCGGCCACCCTCGATGTGTACGACCACAAGACCCTGGTGTCGGAGGAGAACGTGATCTTGGTGTCGATGCAGTATCGCGTGGCCAGTCTTGGCTTCCTGTACTTCGGCACGTCCGATGTGCCCGGTAATGCCGGTCTCTTCGATCAAATGATGGCCCTGCAATGGGTGCGCGACAACATCGCCGCGTTCGGCGGCAACCCCGAGAACGTGACGCTCTTCGGCGAGAGCGCGGGCGCGGTCTCCGTCTCCATGCATCTTCTGTCCCCGCTGTCTAGGTCAGTTTTCACGTTTATTTTCAGAGAAAACAAATCTGCCGGTAAGGGGGAATTGCGCTTGTAAAAACGAACGTCTTTTCGGACAAGTTTATTTAAAAGTAAAATCGTGTTATATATGTATATAATAAAAAAATGACTTTACTTTTTTTTATTAATATTGCTTTTGTATTCGTATTTATTCAAGATACACACAAAAATACAGGTTTTAAAAATTATTTAATATTGATACATTTGAGAATAGAGAATAGAACATCGCAATCCGATAAGACAGGATTTTTTTTGGCCTCTAATAATCTTATTATGTATATGTATAAATTTAAGAAAATTGTTTATATCGCCAACTATGTGCCGTTAGTTTTAACGGACTTGAAGCGTAACGGTTCAAAATTAAATTTAAATTAATTCTCTTTTCCCTTTTGGTAAATCGATAATCAAAGTAATGGTTATTATTCCCTTTCCCTCTTGGAATAAAAATTTGTTTTAATTTGATATCCGTAACGATAGTCGGGGAGATTAAAAAGTCCGATCGCTGAAAGGAGATACCTGCGATTTCTGTTCCAGGCACCTGTTTAACCAGGCCATCATGCAATCGGGCTCGCCGACCACGCCATGGGCGATAATCTCGCGCGAAGAATCGATCGTGCGCGGCATCCGGTTGGCCGAGGCGGTCGGCTGTCCGCACGATCGCAACAATCTGCGCGAGGTGATCGACTGCCTGCTGACGAAGGACGCGGAGGAGCTGGTGAAGAACGAGTGGGGCACCCTCGGGATTTGTGAGTTCCCGTTCGTGCCGGTGATCGACGGCGCGTTCCTCGACGAGACGCCCCAGCGCTCGCTTGCCACGACGTCCTTCAAGAAGGCGAACATCCTGATGGGCTCCAACACCGAGGAGGGCTTCTACTTCATCATCTACTACCTGACGGAGCTGTTTCGCATCGACGGCGTCGAGGACGTGAAGGTGACGCGCGATCAGTTCGTCAGCGCCGTGTCCGAGCTGAATCCCTACGTGAATCAGATCGGCCGCCACGCCATCATCTACGAGTACACCGACTGGCTGCACCCGGACGATCCGCACGCGAATCGCGATGCCCTAGACAAGATGGTCGGCGACTATCAGTTCACCTGCAACGTCAACGAATTCGCCGGTCGTTACGCCGACACCGGCAACACCGTCTATATGTATTATTACAAACACAGGTAAAGAGAAGGTCAATTATTGGGATTTCGATAGAATTAACGGAACTCCCTGGTTCTCCTCCGAGAAAAGATCTAGATCTTTCGATGCGTATAAAAAAAGAGTTTATACAGAGACAGTTAACGTATGATATGTACATGTGAAGGCATATGAATCCGTGTGAATCTGTATTCTCCGAATCATGCATGTAATTGTAAGAGAAAGAAAATACGATTTGTATCAGATCCAGGAATAATCCGTGGCCGCGATGGACCGGGGTCATGCATGCCGATGAGATAAGCTACATTTTCGGAGAACCGTTGGACTCGTCCAAGGGTTACACGTACGAGGAGGTGCAGCTCTCGAAGAGAATGATGAGATACTGGGCGAATTTCGCAAAAACGGGGTAAGACGCATAGCTTATTTTTTTATACACGATTTTTCCTCTTAAAAATTTTTATGACAATTATATTATAGTTTAAAATAATAATGCATATTTATTTGTTTCATACTTATTTCCTAAAAATTATATTTTAATTTAAAATATACTTAAATATAAAATCATATATTACAAATTTTGGAACAGTAAATATGTACGATTGTCAAAGATACATGATATTAAGTTGACAAAAAAAATTCTTTATTCTTTTATCAAAAAATTAGATATAAATATTTTTCGTTAATCTTTTAATTGAAAACATTCATTTGTTACATCCATTTGCTTTTTCGCAAGAAATATTATTATTCTTACTTAAAAATTAAAAGATTTTCGGGTGATTTGAAAAAAAATTTGTAATTTCAGAAATAGTAAAATTATTATCTCTTTTAATCTATTTTTATATTAAAGCATACTGATCCTTGCATACTTGAACCATTATGTAATTAAATCATCGTCAATTTGTATCGTCAAATTATTTCAAAAATACCTTGAAAATACCTCGTTACCCGAAGATATTTCGGTATTATACCGGGACGGCGATATAATTAGACTCGTGATTTGTATGATCGGTCAGGGATCCGAACGTGGGCGATGCCGGCGGGTCGCCGTCGTTGGCTTACTGGCCGCCGCACACCGCCGCCAATAAAGAGTACCTGACCTTGGACATCAACAGCACGGAGATCGGCAGCGGTCCTAGGGTGAGGCAGTGCGCCTTCTGGAAGAAGTATCTGCCGCAGCTGCTCGGTGCCACGTGTGAGTATTATTCCATCGGGACTTGGTTCTCCTGTCGCGGCAATTGAACGAGCGTGCTCGGGAGACACGACGCGGACTAAGCGATCGCTCCTGGGAGCACGCGACGCGGTCGAAAGCGCGATTGTCACGCGATTGTCACGCGCAACAGTTGTGTCCTGCCGTGAAGCAGCAGCCGGCGATCGCGCTCTTCGAGATCGGATCATCGATCGCGTTCGGGCGACGTTACGCGGCGAGGATCGCGGCGGACTCATCGAGCCGCCGAGATACTTTCGGTCCTCGACGCCGGTTACTTACCGCGCTCCGCGCGAATTGTCTTGTGTATGACACCTGTTGAGCGCCAAGTACGTTTGATTGTTCTCGCAATGGTCGGAGACCGCCTCGGAGAGATCGTTCTCCGGCGTGACGTGACGCGTCACGTCGGAGCGAAGCGTGGCGCCTCGTCCCTTCGGCCGCGATCGCGTGCGGCGATCGAGCGACGCTTCGACGAAAGCTGCTTCACATAAAATCCAACCGATAAGAGTAAAGGCAAGGGTTTCCTCGAGGGAGGAAAGGAGAGGTGGGAAGATAAACGAGAAAAATTCACCAAACGTGAAATGCCGCCGCGACGTGGCGATCGGAACATCGCGAAAATATCGCGTGCAGGCCCCGTGGCTTTCGGAGGGAATACGCTATTGTACGAAGCCAACATACTCCAACGCCGACGCTCGAGTTTACATCATTTATTCAGAACTGCTATCAAGTGCGCTTTACCAAGTGTCCCACTTAGGAGAGGCGCGAGCGCCAGCTTCGACAACGGGAGATCTCGCGAGGATGTCTTGTAAGATATTTCCATGCGGTAGAACTTTTCTGTGCGATTAATTGTCCACGAGCATTTTTTTTTTTTCTTTACAATCGTTCATATTTGACGAATGACAATAATTGCGGATAATAATAGAGGAAAAAACAAATTTCGCTTTACACTCGAAATAACGAGGTTGAGCTCTTCGCCATTGTATTATAGATTAAAAAACAAAAATTAATAATTGTAGATGTGAAGAAAGTAGATGTAAAAAAACTAGAGTAAAAAAACTTGGTTGATACAAGAAATGAATTTTATTGAAAACACAAATAAAATGTGTTGACAAAAATTCGAATTTAAATCTATAATATTTTTGTGAAATTTTCATGCTGAGTACTTCTAAAAAATTGATGTTAAACTTTTTTGAGAAGTAACATAAATTTTGTACATGTTATATAAAAACCATTTTAACCATTTTATGCAGGAAATTATTTTTATAAAATAAATCAAAAAAAGAAATAAAACGTATTAATAAAAATTCTTAATTTCTGACAATCTTTTAAATTTAAAATATTTTCCCGTAATTTCGATGTTGAATATATTTTCAAAAACATGTTAAATTATTCTTTGAGAAATAACAGAAAATCTATTCCTATAGATGTTCCGTAAAAAAGCCGTTTTAATATGCAGGAAATTATTTTTATTGAACAAATAAACAATCTTAACCAAAATTCTTGATTCTCGATAATCTGATTCTAAATCTAAAATATCTTTGTGAAATTTGAATGCCTTTCAAAAATTGATATTAAGTTCTTCTCTATATGGAACAACAACTAGATTTAATAAAGAAGATATCTTAAGATGTAGGAAATTAATTTTATAGAAAATCCAGGAAAGAAAGGCACATATTGGTAGTAATTTGTAATTCTCCATAATTCTAAATGTAGTCGCGCGCGTGCAGTAAGGTGTATTAAGTTGTTTGTCACCGTGCCGTGGAACTTTATTGCGAGGGTAGATGGAAACGGAGCGCGGACTTTCGACGATAAGAATTTGCCCAAGTTTATTCGCGTTCGTCTTCGGTTGCGCCACGAAAGCGTTATCGGCTTCGCGCGGCTTCCGTTAATAGACTCTTGTTGCACGGCTCGTTCGTATGTATATGCACGAGCCGATAACGTTCGCGTTCGCGATAAGAACCTGAAATTTGTACCTGCTCGAAACAACAACGTCGCTTTATATGATAATTACGATTACGGCGGTGCCCCCCCCTGGTCCTGGTCGCGCACGCACGGCCATCGAGATTAAACGGCGTAGCATGCCGACGTGTCATCGCGGTCACGAAAGTAGCGGTCACCGGTGCTTTTACACGACGATCGTTTTGTACGACAGGAAGAGAGAGAGAGAGAGAGAGAGAGAGAGAGAGAGAGAGAGGAGGGAGGGAGGGAGGAGGAGGAGGAGGAGGGAGGGAGGGAGGGAGGGAGGA